CATCAAAATTGATAGAATATAGAAAATATTGTGTCAATTCTATATCGAATGTCATATGATAGTACTTATTATCAGTTTAAAGAAGATTTTACCATGTTCTAGTTGAATTTTGTTTGAATTTACAAATGAATTCCATTAAAAAATTAGATTTTTTCCATAGCCTGAGGGAGATTAAGACAAAAATGTCCAATATCTAAGTGGTACCACAAACTGGTGACCTTTGAGCAAAATAAGAAGAATCCTTAACTGGTGGTCTGTAATTATCTTGACACATGATTGTAGCTAAGGTTGAGAAACCTCCTGTTTTTCATCTATATGATTTTTTTTCTGCAGTCATGTATAAAGGTGGCACTTGATTTTGTCTCACCTGAAAATATTGAAGAATGCATTCGGTTAACTGAAGAGTTTCGATTGCTTCCCAAGAATCACAGAGCCAAAGAAGACAAGTTAGAGGTACCTCTTATTGTTTTGTATTTTTGCAGTCATGTATAAAAGTGGCACTTAACATGCTTTTGAGAAAGCTGGGGAAATAATAAATAAAAGTTTGTTTTTTTAATCACGGATCTTATAATGAATGAGTGTTCTGGTTATCACTCCTTTAAAGAATAGCCGTGTCGATAGCGCTGATCAGATGTGAAAATTTTTTATGTTGATAAGAATTTTATGTTAAGTAGAATACTATATTATTTTGAGTTTTAATGGTATAATTATATTCTATAATTAGAGTTCAAATAAAATAAGGATAATCAGTTTATATATATCTTTTAAATGCAAACAAAATAAGAAATAAAAAATCAGAAATTTATTTTCTCTAAAAATTTTATAGTATCAGAGCGCCGGTAAAAAGCTGCAGCTGTACATTCGCAGGTGCGTGTAAAAATTGCAGCTGCACATTCGCAGGCGCCGGTAAAAACTGAAGCTGCAAATTTGCAAGTGTCAATAAAAATTGAAGCCGTGTATTCACAGGCGTCGGTAAAAAGTGCAACCGCACTTCCAAAAGCGCCGATAATAATATACAACCACACAACAGGTAAAAAGTTGCAATTGCACATCCTCAAACGCCAGTAAAAAGGTACAACCGCACATCCAGAAACAGTAGTAAAAAATTACAACCGCACATCAATAGATGCAGGTAAAAAGGGCCACACCATTATCTTTTCGGCGAACGTTCAGAGATCTGTCCGGAAAAGACGAGCCAAGCCGATTTTGAGCCGTTTTAAAGCGAGTCTAAGTCATTCTAAAGTTGAGTCTGAGCTGTTTTAGAATTAAACTCGAGTTATTTAGAGCTGAACCAAATATGGTTCCGTTTTTTGGCTCCTTGGTGCATCTAGGAGGTCTATTTTTCATTATTGGGTATTTTTTCTTCTTATTTTTAGCATTCTAAAATGATAAAAGCAAAAAAAGTGAGTGTTATTAGTTTTGATGATCTTTCATTACAAATCAGTCCCATAAAACTTGATGGAACTAATTATCTTACTTGGTCAAGATTTTGTTTATTGTTCATCAAATCTAGAGGATTGCAAGGTTACATTACTGGTGAGGTGAAAAAATCAGATGTTAATAGTTTAAAATATAATATATGGGACTTTGAGAGCTCATTGATAATGTCATAATTCATAAATTTCATACAACCCTATATTGTCAGAACATATTTGCTGCTTAACACTGCCGAAAAAATATGAAATACAACATCTCTTATATATTCACAGATGGGTAATGACGTCCAGATTTATGAACTCTGCAATAAAGTTCATGGCACAAAGTAAGGAGAGATCACTATTTCTTAATATTTTTCTAAACTAAATGGATTATGGTAGGAATTAGATTACTATCAAGATTTTCAAGTAGAGTACCCTGTAAATGCAGTCAAATTTTAGAAATTGATAGAAAAAGAACGAATTTTATAATTTTTTACCTAGTTTGAACACCGAATATGATCAAATACGGGTCCAAGTACTTGGTAAGAATCTTTTTCCTTCATTAGAACAAACTTATGCTTATGTTTAGTAAGAAGGGAGTAGAATAAATGTCATGTTTCACATTGCACCAGTTGAAAAAGCTGGATTAGTTACTCAGTCTGATCAATCCAGATATATATGGAAATGTGACTATTGTGGCAAGGCAAGACACATTAGGGAAACTTGTTGGAAGTTGCATGGAAGACCAATTAGAAATCAGGGAGGAAGAAGAGGTGAAACCACAAGAGCTCAAACAAATTTTGTTGAAACTATGGAAACACCTGGTTCACCATCCATTGGAGTCTTTCCACATAATAAATTGAAAATCTAAAGCGTCTTCTGAGTCAACTTAACTTTCCATCAACTGTTGGCACATCAAATATGGTAAAATCATGTATTGTTTATTCTATTTCCACTCTTGATAATTGGTTCATAGACTCTGGAGCTAACAGACACATGACAGGCTATTCTAAAGAATTTTTAACCTATTCTTCTTGTACTAAAGGGAATAATATCCGTATAGTAGATGGGTGATACACCCCCGTCTCAGGAATAGGTTCCATTAATTGTATTTCTATTATTACACTGTCTTCAGTTTTACATGTGTCTAATTTTTTTGATAATCTTTTATCTATTAGTGCCATAACTAGAGATCTCAACTGTAAAATTAAATTTTTTCCTGAACATTGCATCTTTCAAGATCTTCAAACCGAGAAGAGGATTGACACTGATATACTGCAAGATGGTTTATATGTCTTGGATAGACATCTGAACTTAATTGGAAATCAAGCAACTATTGGGAATAAAGAAGTCAATATGGAGATACTATAATGGCACCGACGATTGGGACATCCTTCCTTTTTTGTTTTAGAAAAATTATATTTTAAATTATTCAAAAGAACCTCTATGGATTCTTTATTTTGTAATGCATGCGAACTTGCTAAACATAAGAGGAATTCTTATCATTTAAGTAATAATAGAAGTATTGATCTTTTTAAGACTATTCACTCT